TGATTAAAAGAAAAAAATCAGGTTGTTTTCAAGCCCTAGTGAAGGTTGTCTGACCGAAAACCAGGATTCAGAGTAAGCTGTTGACGAAAATATAAATGATTGAAAGTTATCTATTTAAAGTATCTTTTTCCTCTTAAAAGCTCACTCTAAAAGAAATAGTACTTTACTAGGTCATATGAGTGTGACAGTTTGAACTGTGGGTATGTATTTAATAATAAAAAGATACTTGTGAGAATTGGTGAACCTTGGGCTGCAGTCCCTCTCAGTGAATGATTCAGTCCCACTGTGGGCATGTGACTGGCCCTGGGGGTGAGGGGCAGCTGGTGCTGGGCAGGAACCAAGAGAGAGCCAGCAGCCTCAGGCGAGAACCCCCAGACCCCTCCTCCTGGAATGCAACAGAGGTCACTGGCAGGACAAGCCACAGAGCCTGGAATTATTTTACCAGCTTATTTTCAACCTGGTAGCACATAATGAGTGGAGACATGTGCAAAGAAAGAGACAATGACAATGTGAAAGAAAGACACAGGAAATTCTGAGTGAGAGGCAGATGTGAGCCCCAAAGAGCACATCACAGAGACTCAGAGAGGGAGAGACAGAAGCAGGGACAGACAGACAGAGGGATAGACAAAAAAAAAAAAAAAAGATAAAGTCAGAGAGACAAAAGTCCAAAAGTCCAGAGCAGGGACAAAGTCTTGGCATAGATCAGGGGAGACCCAGGAACAAGAATTATGTATTTAACGAATTTTTTAAAAAAAAACATGATATATAATTTAAAGCAGCCAAAGTGTAATTACTATAAAGGATACTATGAATAGCCTAACAGGACCTGGAATATACAAAATCCTTTCCATGTGTTCAAATACAAGCCAATGAGGAGTCAAGCTAACGATGCCTAATCATGTCCCTCAGAGACCTGTGACCTTGGTTAAAAAACATCTAGACTTTTCTACCTCAGTGTTCTCTTCTATAAAATGGAATTAGTCACATGTGCAAAGTTACCCTCTTTGGGAGTGTGGGGAAAGAGTTGAGGCAGCTCAAGTGGAAACTCAAGAATTGAATGTAGCCTCGCAACAGATTTTGTTCTACTTCCAGGGAGTTTGAAATATTGTTTTCATTCATTGCCAGCATTTGAAAGTCATGAGCTATTACATATAGATCTGAACATTGGGCTTCTTAAGAAAACTGGGCAGGTGGGCAGTGCTGGGCCTCTGGATATCCCTCTGTAGCAACTTTATCTCAGGTTAGTGCCAGCAGTGCTCATTGTTGGGCACACTTATTACAGTTCACCACAGTCCCCATTGCTCCCTACTGTCTTCCCTGTCCCAGCTCATGACATTCATTTGTGTTGTCACCCCACCCTTGAAGATTTTATATTTGCAGTCCTCTTTCTAATTTGAACAACATATTTTATTAAAATATTTTTTCAATGGCCAGGCTTCTGTTTCAGAGTGCAGAACATGTCTTGATCACCCCTTAGAGTCCATCCCTGAGTGCAGTTCCCACATTAAGTGCTCAGGAAAGGCTTGTTGCACTTACTGTTCATCACATGGCACCTGCATGAGAATGGAGAGAGACAGAGAGAGAGAGAGCAGACTGAGTGGACGTGGGTTGTGCAGACAACCTTTCCAAGCTTGGCCTAGCATCAATGATGCATGAGAAGTGCTGCAGAAGTGCTTGGTGTCTTTATTTTCTCCCACCTATTTTTTCCACTGCTGTACCTGGTTATGAGAAAAGAAACTGGATAAAGTGCCATAATAGTTCCTAAGAGGGGCGTCAATGTTTCTTCTCCTAGATAGCTCCTGCCTTGGGGTCTGATGCTATTTTCTCAAGCAATGAGGCAATGCACACACTTAAGGCTCCATGATTAGCGAGCAAAGAAAATCGGCTGATACTTTTTAGACTTTCAGGGTTCCCACCCTGGTTCTCTGCATGTGCAACATCTTTTCCCTTCTCTGAAAAATGTAGGCACTGATGTGTCCAGCAGTTTGGCACCTCCTTCAAGGCAGGACTGGAGTTCCTGAGTTGTCATTCAACAACCTCTTCAGGTCAGCCTTAGAGCAGTAAGCTATGTTGTTGGAGACTACTGTTCAGACCCAGTGATCATGGGGGCAGCAGTACAATGAACCTGGCCATTCCAGTCAAACATGGTCTAGCCTGACAGGCCATTTTAATCCCAGATTTCCCTGTGTGGTGGGAAGAGGTTAGTGCATCATCATTTCTCCTTCAGAAGAAGTACAGCTCTGCTTCCTTCCTACCTGTCAACAAGTATGGATCCCAGGGGCACCCCTAGTAACCATCTTGCATGTAAATTTCAGATCAGCATCTGCTCCCCACTGACCCCAAACTGACTGTCAGAGGAGCATCTGTTCTTGGGATCATGCAATTAATTATAGATGAAAGAGAAATTTTGCTCCAGCTAACTTTGTATTTGTGTGTAGTAATTCTGTTTCCCTAGGATGACAATGAATGATATCACCTTGAAGTTTTAAATCATATTTTAAAATGTTTAAAGATCTCTTTAGTGCTTTGAAAATTCTTCATTTTCCTAAGACTTGGAACATGCACTTGAATCTAAGGCAGTCGTAAAACCCTGGGATACTCTGTCAGTTCCTGAAAAAGGAACACCAGTTTGATTTTGATCAGAAACTTGTTTGGTTGAAAATAGGATTTTGAGGTTTCAACTGTATTCATATCTGTCTTTCAATTTTTAATTATATAATCTGATGAAATTCACCAGATAGCACCATCTGTGAGCAAGAAACAAAAAGGATATAAGACAAGAGAAATAAGGGAAGTTGAGAAAATTAGGCATTTGGAAAAAACTAGTCTGAGTTTGAATCTTACTGCTCCTTTTTGCTGACACTGAACTCTGCACTTAAATTTTCCTACATTAAATGGAAATAATGATGACATATACTCCTCAGAGTCTTTGTGCAAGTTAAATGAGTTTCTAAAACATATATAATTGTAGCCACAGTAAGTGTTATTTGTTATTAGCTACTGAGGCAAAGATATAAACACACATATGCACACACTAAATAGCACATATTAAACAAATTTTAGATCTTTGTTTATAGTGAAATTTTGCATGAAAATTTGCCTAAACTTAGTTTAAAAGGATGGGGGGAGGGGATTTCTTTTTTATTAGAAAGAAGGCTATTAAATCTTCTAACACTGATCATCTAACATCTCAGTAAAAAGTTGAAGGCAGCACAGGAATGAATGTGTCATGTGGCCTTCTGGGGAGAACATTTCAAGCAGCTGGGTCCATGTGGCTGAGGCTGAGTAAGCAGGGGAGATGCAGCTCACTTTATGCCCCTTTAGAGAGCTGGCAGGGCATGTCTTATTGGACCCTGTAAGTCATGTGAAGACTATGGATTTTGCTAAGTAATTTGATTGATAGGAGTCTTGGCCCAAGGAGTTGATGTGGCCTAATCTCTATATTAGATAGTCCTGGCTACTATCTTAAGAAGGGAGTAAAGTCAAAAGAAATTCAAAGAAGCAGGGAAGGAATCATTCTAAGGTTAATGCAGCACCCACAGTGTGGATTAGGCAATCACTGTGGGCAAGGAGCTTGGTTGGCACCTGCTATGCTTTGAATTCTGAACTGACAGGATTTGGTAATGTCTTGAAAGGAAGGTTTTCTTTCCTGAGCAACTGGAGGAGAAAGATGCAGGGAGAGGTAGAGTTGGGAAGGATTATGAGTTATTTGTGTTGAGATAGGTTAAGTATGAAATAGTTCTGAAGCATCCGAATAAAAATGATGAATGACACTGAGAAAGAAGAATCTGGAGTTAGTGAGCAGACTGGCCTAGAAATATAAAGTTGGGGGTCATCAGATTATAATTGGTGTTTCAAACTGTGAGACTGGATTAAATCACTCAGGGAGGGAGTAGAGAAAGAAACTGGAAATGAGTGGACAGAACTTGGAGGCTTCTTAGTGTACAGGGACCAGAAAGATGAGAAACAGCCAAAGAGACTGAAGACAAACTACCTTTGAAGGACAGAGAGAAGTAGGAGAGTCTAGAAAGCAGATGAAGGCATGTGAGCTGGTCTTTGATGGTCAAACAGGAGTTTGTTAAACCAAGAGTCCTCAAAGCATGGTCCCAGACCACCGGCATCAGCATGAACATCTGGCAACTTGTTAGAAATGTGTAGCCTCTTACCCCACCCCATGTCTACTATATCCAAAATTCTAACAGTGGGGTTCTCCAGGGACTTCTTGAGTTTGAGAACCATATTTCCCTAGGCATACAATTACCTGCACAAAATTATAATAATTCCCCGCCACCGGCTCTCCCATACACCACCACCACCACCACCTGTTTTTATTGGAAGAGAATAGTTTTAAAGATCCACTTAGTGTTCAAAGCAAAACTGTATCAAATAGGTCTCTCACAGCAACCCCTCTCCAACATCACCACTTCCATTCCCCCCTTCCTCATCCCAGTTTAGAAGCTTACGAATTCATCATGGCTCTTTGGAGAGGAGGAATGCCTCTGTGCCTCTGGACATAGGGACTGTAGAGGATCAGGCATGCCAGACATTCCACTACTAAAATAAGTGGTGGGGAGGGTGGTAATCCAGAGTTAGCATTATTGGGCCACAAATGCTCAAACTCCTGAGATACAAACTTATTCCACACAACGGTTTCCAAATTTTTCCTGTAGGATCTCCTAGGAGAACATCCACCCTCTTTCATTCTGAAGGGAAAAAAAAGTTGAAATTAGGGCCAGCCCTGCAGGACTTGCATGCCAGATAGGGGGGAGGGTGTCCCCAGAAACCAGCTGGTTCCCACTGCCACGGGAGGGACAGGAGACCTCCAGTCCCAACCCTGTGGAGAGGCTTCTGGAAGGGCCAAGTGTCTAGGGATTTGTTTCGGAGCTTTAAAACTCTGAGCAGAAACGACTTTTCAAAAGTGTGCAGTTGTCTCCTCCCAGCCCTGCCCATCCTCGCCTGGGGCCAGCTGTGCGGTCTGCTGGCTTCACTTGGGGCTGCGATCAGATCCAAGTCTGCAGCTGAGCTAGCAGCGTGCACTCCCCTCAGGCACCTTGAGCTTTCTGCTCAGCTCTGGAGCTGTTTTGTAAAGTTGGGCAACTTCAAGTGCCTGCTTTGCTTCTGGAGTTCTCCCTCCTCTGGTCCCCAGCGCCCCCGCCTCCCACACTCCCGCTCCCTTCCACCGGGAGCCGCCAGTCAGCGGGCTCGCAGCATGCACCCTTTTCCAGTCTTCCTCCCTTGGAGTGCAACCATGCTGTTAAGGGGCGTCTTTCTGGTGGTGCAAGGTAAGGCTTGGACCCTGGGAGGGGTACAGCAGAGGGGAGTGTTTGCATGGCGAGCTTCCTCTCCTGCCGCCCTGGTGGCAGGGCTTGCCCCCCTCTGAGACCCGGCTGTCCGAGAGACAGAGCGTCTCCTGATTCTTCTCGACAGCCATTAACCTCCCTCCCCAAGCCAAGCCTGGTGACAGTGGGGATCAGAGTGGGGTCTTACAGTGGAAGCTTAGGGATAGGGAACAGAAGTGCATCCCTCTCCCGCCACCCCCCTCCCGCGCGCCTTTCCCTCACTTTGAACAGGTAGTCTCCCTGGACACTCTGACTTGGTGCCAGCGCTCCCTGGCTAGAACCAAACTGAAACTTGCTTTCTGTCCACAGCCCTGCAATATGTGGGTGCCCTGGACCTGCCGGCGGGGTCCTGTGCCTTTGAAGAGAGCACTTGTGGCTTTAACTCAGAGCCTGCCTTTCTGCCTTGGATTTTAAATGAGGAAGGTAAGGGGCTCAGCGCTCTGGGGTCGGAGGTGAATTTTCCTCTTGCTGTTTGGCGCTTTCAGCAAGGGTAAGATTTATCTCTTTGGCCTTCCTTGGAGAAGTGTGAGTCATGGATCCCCCTTAACTACATAACCTTCAGCTGTGCTGCACGAGTGGTGGGGGAGTCTGGTATCCTTGGTTTACCTGGCCTAAGGGTAGAAGCGCCTCCTTGCCCCTCCCCCTTGCACCCTAACGGAAGGGGCGAGGGGCTGCACTAAGATAAAGATGTCGCCCACTGGCGGCGTGCCGCCTGCAGGTCTTCAGCCTTCTAGTTAAGTGTACATACCTTTGTGAGCTGCAAAGTTGGGTGGAGCTCATTCTTTCCCTGCCAAGCAGCAATTGTTCCTTCACTGTGATGGGGTCAGTGCTAAGACCTCGTGTTTACAGTGTGCCTGATGGAGTTTTGTTGCATAATTCCATCCTCATACTCCTGTTATTTATAACCCAGAATTTGGCAAACAAGGAAACCAAGTCCATGACTGTGTCCTTGAGGTCACTCATCAAGCGGGTGGTGTCTCACCACGACATACTGTTTGGGTTCTGGTGACAGCTTCAGAAGTGTTTTCTTACCCACCATTTATATAGTAAAACACAAGTAGTTCTGCAGTGTCCAAAAGCAGGCATTGTGTGATGTGGGATTCCCCTTCTTGCCTTTCCCAATCTGTCACCCAGTTTAGAAGACTGCTGCCCCAAGCATTTGCTGCATGAAGGAGACCTATTAAAACCCCTTATTGGCCCTCCCTGGTGGCACAGCGGGTTAAAGCACAGCACTGAGAAGCTTAAGCCACTTCTGCATGAGTTCAATTCCCACCTGCCCCGGAGGTGACCACATGGCGTGGCAGACCTCTCCTGACCCGCCCGCTGCTCCCCTCAGCAGTGTACTTCATCCATCTGCCTGTTCTGCTCCCCACTCTGTCTGTGGTGAATCCTCTCACCCTTCACATCTGGCCTGTACCCCAGTTCTGTATGAATAAATAAATAAATCTTTAAAAAAAGATTTAAAAAAAAAAACCCTTATGTACCCACTCATCTATCCTTAACCCCAAATCATCCAAGTGGACTCCCTGAGAGGGTGGTGCCCCCACCCCTAGTGAGCATGTATGAATGCTCTTCATGCTTCCTCTGCCTGTGGCTTATGTTGGGGGCTTTGCATACATTAATTTCTCTGACCCCCACAGGTAGGTGAAATTAGCCCCCTATTAGGAGAGACTTTTAGACTTAGAATTTTCCAGTGGCCGTCCCACGTCACCTAGTATCACTCTGTGGCCAATCGGAGCTATCTACTTGTGGAAGAAATAGAAGGTACCCAGCTCAGTAGTCATCTTTTTCTCCAATTGCCTAGTCTTGACTACTTCAGTGCACTTAGTAGTAATGGGGTGAAAGTAATTACAGATTTGCTATGGGATGGCTTCCTACATAATGATGGCTTTAGGAAAGTCTTCATCACACCTCCCCACCCCTTTTTGTATTTGTGTGTGAAACATTTTGAGAAATGGCAGATGAGGCTACATCACTGGCTTTGAAGAGCATTATACTCCAACACTGCGCTTCTCAAGCTTCAGCTGCATTGGAATTAATTGGTGGACCTAGTAAGACACAGATTGTTGAGCCTCAGCCCCTGAGTTTCAATTTGGGATTCAGTGGTTCTGGGTTGGGACCTGAGAATTTGCATTTCTAAGCAGCCCCCAATTGATATTGCTGCTGCTGCTGCTGGTCTGGAGAACAGCCGACCACCCCTCCCCCTTACACACACACACACACACGCACACGCACACACACACACACACACACACACACACCCCTTGTACGTGGTCCTAAGCAGGGCAGAGACAAAGAGGAAAGAACCACTCACATGACCCTAAAAAAGAAAACCTCCTTAAATTTAGACAGCTCTCTTGTCTCTTCCCTAGTCTGTCCCAGTGAAAGAAAAGGAAATCCATGACCTCCCTTGGCACTAGAACCTCAGTCCCTGAGTTCTACCCTGGCCCTCAGCCACATTGGCCAGCCTTTGACTAGTGGCCATGCGACAGCCTGAACCCTAGCCTCTCCCAGACCACAGGAAGTGCTGTGCTGAGCTGGCACCCTGTACCCCGAGAGGCCGTTAAACAGGGCCCTTCAGGGAAAACAGGAAGATGCTTATAGGAAAAGGTGATTACAGTTAATAGTATAATGAAGGCACTGTTGCTTTCCTTCCCATTTCCTTTCTAACTTCTAACAGCCACTGCTTTCTGGCTCAGGTCTGGGACTACTGGCTTGGCTGGGAGAAGTGAATTCAGTCTCCTCTGAGCACTCAGGGTGGGGCAGGTAGGTCAGGCTTCAGTCATTACGAATCCAGTTTTTCAAAGGCCAGAACTTGGACATCACAGTTGCTTTGGAAGGGCAGTGAGGCGTATACCAGTTGCTGTGGATGCCTGCTGAGAAGCCATCATTGAGAATTTCTGTTATAAAACCATTTCTAGGTTGGTGAATTAATGATAATAAAATTGTTCCAGGTTGAAATTTGGCAAGGGGTTCACAACTCTCTCTGCTGATTTATCTTTCTGCAAATACTCTGAAACTGGTTTTATCCACTTTTGTGTGTTGGGTCTATCCTGGAGATGGTAGGTGTCAGAGATTGTTGCCCCAACTATTTGTGACACAAATAGCACTTTCTCTAGGAATCAGCCAGTAAGTTAATATATAGTGGAAATAGTGAAGGAAGTTAAGGAGGGAAATAAAGCTTCATTTATCCTCTAAGAAATCCTCTTTATTCATTCCCAGTTCAGAGACTATTTGGAACCCCTTTACACAATGGTCTTTTGCTGAAATCAAGGCAGTTGGCTCCATTCCCCTAATACCAGCTATGGGGGTGGAAACCCTTCAGGTTAGGGCTCTTGGGAACCAAAAAGAGCCACAATTCAAATTAGACATCAGGTGGATTTGGGCTCACTCAAAGCTTTGGACATTTTGGCTTAACACCTTTAACCTAACTCTATTACTGAAATTGAGGGAAGGAGAAGAGAGGGAGGAGGGAGTAAATCTGAGTCTTGCTCCTTAATTAGAAAGTTGGAGCACTGAGGCACCTGGGGAAGGAAGGTAGATGCAGAAATGTGTCAGGTTAAGGAGGGGGGCATACAAAGCACTAGACAATGACTTTCTCTGTAACAGTAGGCACCAGAGTTTGAGAAATTGCCTAATACAAGGAGAGTTTGGATGATATATATACCTGGGAGCACATGATGGTATCTGAGACACAGAGGCCAGCTCTTGTGTGATGTAACAGGTTGGAAGGTGGGGCATGGTGGCGTGTGTGGAAGTTACACTGTCAATACATACTTGTGTCTCTAGTACCCCCTTTCTTCACCAAATACCCTCCTTCTCTCTTAAAGATACGTTTGGTTACTTGGCCGTCAGTACCTTTCAGCTCTGTACTTTTTCACCTGCCAGTTATTATTAGTGATCAATCACTCCTCATAAATCTTGAGACCCAGGTATAGCCAAAGTCTGACCAGGATCTCAAGGGACCTCCCTGAAGAGAAAAGGGTCTTCCTGTAGATTACAGCTCTTTTTCCTGACTCTGAGGAACTGACTGAGCATTCCACTTCCATAAGGCAATTCATAAGTTCTTGCCCATCTCAGTGGGACTGCTTGACCCTGCATTGCCTCCAGCGGTATTTTGGTACCAGGTAAGCAGAAGACCAATCTATGTTGCCTAGAGTCCGAAAAGCAGAGCCTGGGTGTTGCTTGGATGCCTCCTGGAGAAACAGAATTTGCCTGGGAATAGGCAAGTTATTCTTGAGCGTCACTTGGCATTTCCCGGGTACTCTGGCCATTGTGCTGGCAGGTTGAGCATGGCTATCATGTGTTATACCAGAGCACAGCTTTGGCTCTGCCTGAGATCCTAAATTCCAGCATCAGGCCTTAAATATCATACAGCACAACCTCATTTTACAGAGGGACCCAAGCACATGACCAGTCAGGGTCCCAGACTAAGGCAGTGGCAGCCCTGGGGCAGGGTTTCTGCTCCACATCACTCCACTAGTTCTTTCTCCCAACACCGCTGCCTTTCTCCTCGTATCTCTGCCTCTTAACTTCTGGTCACCATGTTATGTGGCTTGTATTTTGATGTATAGTATTCATAAACAATCCTGGTTCTACAATTTGTAGTATATCTTCAGTAGGTCACCACGTAGTAGTGCTATATTTATCTTTCTGCAAACAACATTTAATTTTTAAGAATTTACATGAAATCCACTAATGTTAGTGGAGGTGATGGCCATCTCAATAAATAAGATCAGCATGTAGCACCTTGGCTTTCCTAATAGTTTGCCAGTTATCCCATGATTCTCCCTCATTTTTTCTTATGCTTGTTGTAATCAACACAGTCATATAAATCTATTCATACATTCAACACAGAAGAATAGATTGCTAGTGATAAGTGAGCATGTTATTTAAGGGCAAGGACCTGTCCTAATGTATCAGAAATTTTTAGTGCATCCATTAGGCCATAATTAAGCAAAATGTCCTAACCAATGTCAGCAAGACATTTCTTTTTTTTTTTTTTAAAGATTTTTTTATTTATTCATACAGAACTGGGGTACAGGCCAGAGATGCGGAGGGTGAGAGGATTCACCACACACAGAGCGGGGAGCAGAACAGGCAGATCGACAAGTACACTGCCGAGGGGAGCAGTGGGCGGGTCAGGAGAGGTCTGCCACGCCATGTGGTCACCTCCGGGGCAGGCGGGAATCGAACTCATGAGGAAGTGGCTTTAGTTTCTCAGTGCAGTGCTTTAACCCGCTGCGCCACAAGGGAGGGCCAGCAAGACATTTCTAAGAAAACACTTAGGAATTAATGGGTAAATTCTTATGCTTGTGCATTAGATTCATGGTTCTCAGCCCTGATTGGATGTTAGTCATCTAAAATTGTCTTTAAAACTAGTCATGCCCAGAGAGATCCCAAGAAATTCTGATTTAGTTAGC